TGTTGCCTGTTAACAAACCAGCTCTGTGGAGAGCTGTCTCCAGCCAAACGACTCCCCTGGCTCAAGATCTGGCCTTCATTCCTGGATTCAGAGAGATGTCCTGTGCAGCCATTCAGAAACTGATACAAACCACGCCTGCACCTGAGAGGCAAAGTGGGGAAAGGGCACTGCCTGTCCCACGTGTGAGCAGTGCCACTGCCATGCCCAGTGAGATGGGAGAGGTGTGGCATGAAGCTACACAGGGGTCAGCACACGGGCAGATCAACAAATACACCTGGGAGGAACAAAACCACACCTGGGAAGCCTGCATGCTTCAAACTGCACCCAATTTTCCCACTTCTGTTTCCTCCAGGCCCTGTTACCCCATTTGGATCAAAACCTGCAGGACTGCATTCACCATTTTGAAATGAGCTGGGCAGGTTTCCAACTGGAGGGTGTTTTAGACCAGAATCCCAAGATGCAGTATCTCATAAAATTGTCATTTCTGTTTCCCTCCCTGCCTTGGGACAGGGAGGAGTGCAGTCTCAGCTGCACTTTGTGCCTCGTGCCTCAGGGTTTCACCCCTCCAGGGAAGCAGTGCCAAAGATGTCCTCAGAGGAAGAGCAGTGCTTTCCACAAAGGCGTATACCCGAGTCTTGTGCAAAGCAGAGGGCAACACAGCAGGACAAGAGTCAGGCAGGGAATTTCCAGGGAGATCTTTGTTCCCTGGACCCTGCTGTATGGAGGAGAGATAGTCTGTCTCAAGCCAGACACAGCAGGACAAGAGTCAGGCAGGGAATTTCCAGGGAGATCTTTGTTCCCTGCTGTAGGGAGGAGACATAATCTGTCTCAAGGCAGGGCTGGAGAAGCTGGGAGGAATCTCTGGTTCCTCTTCTGTGATTAACTGTGCTGAGCCACCACAGCACAAGCCCTGTTGAAAGGGGCTTGTCAGGCTCCCCCAGCATCCAGCAAGGCAAAGGGCCAGTGAGGGAAATACGGGGCACCAGAGACACTGCCTTCAACCAACCCACCAACAGTTCTCGGCAAGAAAAATGACCCCACTCTGAACATCACCCGCCTTCTTCCCCCCGCTTTACAGGCTGTGTGGCCCCATGTGGAATGGAATATCAGCTGGGGTTAACTGTCCCAGCTCTCTCCCCTGCCAGCTTCTTGTGCACCCCTGGCATACTTGCAACGAGAAGCAGAAAAGGCCTTGGCTCTGTGTAAGCACTGCTCAGCAACACCAAAACCATCCTGTATGGTCAACACTGTTTTCAGCACAAATCCAAAGCACAGCCCCACACCAGATACTATGAAGGAAATTAACTCTATCCCAGCCAAAACATACACAAAGTGGAAGCAAGGTACTGCAAAAATGAGAGGCATGGTAATTACCCCAAAGAAACACCACTGCAGTAACCATTCCCCTCAAAGTACCCAGACTAAATAATACTATAGTTCATGAAAGATACTTCAATGAGCCAGCACATGTTGATTTTGAAAGTTCTTCCTTCACAAAGCTGAGTCATAAAGAAGATTAAGAAATCTATAATCAGTGTTTAAACAGCCTAGAAAGATCTACCAGCAAGGGAGGACCCAAAATTGTCATGCTGTACACTATCTTTTATTTCAATGTTTTGCTTTAAGTAAAAGGCTTCATTTATTTCATTTGTCTGGGTACAATGCATTTCAAATTTCAGATCTCCTCTTACTCACAGCAACATTAAATTCTGTTGATCTTGTACTTCACAAGTTGTGTGGGAAGGTGTCTGAACTTTTTGTCTAATCAGAGAATTCACTTCAATTGGTTTTTTTGGACTCCAGTTAGGAAAGGCCTTAAATTAAACACAAGGGATATAAGAAAAAATGAATAAGATTGGAAAACACTGGAAAAATACTCGAGAATAGTTGCCATGGCGATCCTTCTCTGCCTTCATGTGCTGAAGAAGACACATCCCAAACACAAGTGGGTCTCTTAGACCCCACCTAGCTTCCAAGTCCAGGCTTGGGCAGGGTGGGTGGTGCAGCTGCCCACGTGGCACAGGCTGGGCTCTGCTGCCCCAGCAGAAGGAGCCCCACAGTCAGGTCACACTGCCAGGGACACTGCACACCCAAGGTTATTCCAGTCACAATGCAGATCAGGCTGCTGCAGCACACGGTGTGTTGCAGGATGTGGTTTCTGGGATCTTTCACTTCCACTGGTACTTTTAAAAATCTGCACCTTAGATTCAGGCTTCCCAATGCTGTCTTCACACAGGGAGTGCACAGAGGATACATCTGAGACTTCCTTGGTCTGCCAATCAGTCAGACTTCACACTCAGTCTAAGAACAGTGCAGCTCCTTTCACCCCAGTCACTCAAATTTCTCTTCATGGGGGTGGGCAGCAGTGAGGGGTATGGGAGTGGCATGCACCCAACTCCCACCTAGGTATAGGGTCTGGAGGTAGAATTAAGCAGACAGAGTCTCAGGAATCAAGCAACATTTGCACTGACCCATCTTCTGCAGCAGTTCCCACAGAGGACTAGGAAAAAAAGCATCTGCCATGGCTGAAACATTGTCTTGTGCAACGGATTCTGCTGAGAGCAAAGCAGAGATTATGAATGAGCTGACAAAACCAGCCTGCTGTTGGCATAGGCACCAAGCAGAGACAGAGTAGCTATGCTGGAAGTGTTTCATCCATTACTGTCAGAGAAGTCACTTTTGCCACTGATCCTGCTCTAATAAATCATGTTGCCAAGCAGTTTTATAGAGGCGTTATACATCCAAAGCTACTTATGGTCCTGTTAAAAGAGATGCATTTCTTTTTTAGCTCAGTGTGGCTGAAATGCTGTCACAGAAGAAAGAGAGCTGCTTCTCAGAGTGCTGTTCTAAAAGAAGTATTATTGTAATTAAATAGGGAGGGACAACGTGAGCTAGGAGCCACAATTTTCCTCCTCTGACCCATCGCCTTGGGGCAGCATTGCAAAACTGAAAATTTGTGACCATAAGCACAATAGCTGCTCACACACTCTTTGCCACGGGGATTGATGAAAATGGGGAAATAATGATGTTACTTCCTCACTCACCATAGATCACCCATCCCCTCAAAGTGACTGGAGTATTATAAGCCTGGCAAGATGTATATGGACAACTTAACCAATTAGCTCTTTTATAAAGGCTGTCATCCTCTTAATGCAGTGTTAGATATACTAAGGCATGTGTCTACAAAGTAAAGTATTCCTTTCTGAAGCTAACAAAGCTCTCATTCTAGCAGTCTTAAAACTTCAGTCTGCAAATGTTCACCCTGTGGCTGCATTCACTCTAGTGAGTTATTCAGTGACTACAGAAGCCAAACAACGGATCAAAGTAACTGGTCTACATACACACTACATATATTACATTTATACCCATATGCACATACATATATATATAAATATATAGGGTTTGCCACGGTTAATACCAGCAGGAAAATTCCTTACTAACAAGTGGAGTAGCTTAGGAAAGTTGTGTATCCAGCACAGATAAATCTCTATGGCATGTGTACAACTCCCATCAAAATTATGCTTTAAATTTGGTTCTGTTTAAATGCAGCCGTTCCTGTGGCCAGTCCTATCGCCGTCATACCACTGCTTTGCATAGCACTGAGAGGGACCTGCCCAGCTGCTAATAAGCAGCAAGGACACTCCTGTCTCTGGGAGGCAGAGATAATTCCCAAGGCCACTGCCCTGCTGAGCCCGTCCAGCCCAGCAGGCAGCACAGACCTGGAGCTGTTCCCCGCCCTGACAAGTGAGGTGATGGGAAAGGGACCACGGGCAGCAATGCAGGGTGTGATGCACAAACCCACCACATCCCAACAACCCAGCAAGGTGACCTCTGGCAGCACTGAGGGGCCTCAGCACGGAGAAACATCCACCTTTCAGTTTCCCTGCCACTGTCTTGTTAAACCAACACACAAAAGGCAATGTCATGGTGCTCTGTGGAACAACTGAAAAGCACCAAAATCTCTTCATCTCAGCATTCACTGGAGGCAGAAAAGGACATTGCATAGGTGCAGAAGAGAAGCAAGGAGGTCTCTAGGTAATCTGCTGCACTCAGAGATACTGCAGGGGATGGAGAAAATGTTTTTTGTTTTAACAGCTGTTCAGGAGTCAACTGCATGTAACAGTGTCTGTGGCCATGCTGGCCTTGGGTCAAAATCCAGAACGCACCTCTGACTTCTGGCCCCAGCATAAAGAGGTGGCTGGAAATCCTCCAATGTCAACAGCAATTCTGGCTGTCCAAACAAACATTCACTTGCAGTGACAGAGGCATATCAAAAAGCTGCCTAAGGAGCAGAGAGACAGCCTGCTGGGAACCCTCAGACAAAGAGTGTTTTTACCTTTCCATAACCAAGGGCAAAAGGATGCCATGGATAATAACTACATTATTTCTAGAAAGCAACCTGACAAATGCATGAGATAAAATTTACCTGGGTCCACCAAGCACAATAACAAAAATCCCTGGGCCATATCATATTAGAGATAGGGAAATATTTAGAGGAGGTCTGAGCCCACAGTTCCTGTAATCTTGACTCATGTGTCCACTACTGTCCATCACAGGGACAGGGCACCAAGCTAGATGGACCTCAATGGGACAAAATGTCTAACATTTCTGGATCATAGATCATGTTGAAAACCAGTCACCAGTATTTGCCTGAACATTAATGTGTTTTCTGCCTGTGAACCCCAACCACAGGAACGCATAATTTTCCTCAGGTAAGTGAGCCCATTGTTTCTACATTAACACAAATACATCGTTCAAAGCCTCTCAATGGCTGGAACAAATAAAGGAGATTATTTCATCAGCTCCTGTCTCTCACAGTCAGATAATGCAGAGCCACACCAGGATACCCAAAATAGTGATTTATTGGAAAAAGCATTATGACTATTTATAAATGCTGTGACATGATTTGTACCCCAAACAGAAAGATAAACTGGCAACCTACGGTCTAGCAAATCAACTACTCCTACTGAGCTCACAAAGTCAGTGATCAGAACAAAAGCTGTAAATCACAATATTATTATTTATTTATTTAAAAACTTATTATTTATTTATTTCAAAACTAGAAAATGCAGACAAAACACAGGCATCTTTGTGTGTACAGAAAAGGCAATTCAGTTTGCATAAGGCTTTGACATTATATAACAATGTTTATGAAATTCTATCCTGCCTGCCTGATGCAAAAGGCCAGTAGCAGGGCTGCAGAGGCAGAGACTACAGATGTTTACTCTCACTGTTGGGTCTGAAGCTCTCAATCTCCGTTCAGAAGGTATGCACTTTATAAAAGAACCCCATCATGCTGCTGAGCTGCACAGCTCTGTTTATACCAGGTTTATTACTGGCATCTCTAACATCTGAGATTTCACAAGATAAATTTTGAGAAATTTCAAGGTTTTGATCATTGAAAGGCATTCATCACAGGTCACCAGACTGTATCCACAAAAGCTCCAAAACGAACCTGGGAGGCACAAAATGGACAATACTGTGCTCCTCCGTTCCTCGCCCACACAGGTTAAAATAATCTGGGACATGAACAATCCCTTTGGATTCGAACAAAGGCACAAGCTTAAAAGGGCATTTGCTGCTTCAAAAATTCCTTCAAAAGCCCAATTCTTTCTCTTGATTTCTCTTTTTATTCTTCCTCCCCTGCACTGCAATCACTAACCACAGCCAGTATCTTTTCCCTGTCATTGCTGTTTGGTTTTTTGCTTAATTAAATGATATCTGCTCTTTTTACCCATCCTGAACTAGCTGCTCTTGCACACAGGTGACTGAAACTCTCATGAAGTTCACAGCAAAGCTCTTATACAGCTCAGCAAGGGAGAAAAGGAAAGCACATCAAAACCTCAGGTTTTCTCCTTTTCCTGCTGAGATTTGTTCTCAGAAAGCAGGCGCACGTGCAACAGCTTGACCAGCCAGCAGCCACAATGCCAGCTGACAAATGCCTCTTTCAGCTCCAGGGGAAAATGTTTTTTGGAAAGCACCTGAACTATGGGGCACTTCACCACCAGAGGAGCACACCTCTTTTAGTGCAGGTAGTGAGTTATACACACCCAGTAGCAGGGTGAGTGTTCCCACTGTGGGCACTCTGCTGTGTCCCTGGCAGAGCCAACAGCTAAAATAATGGTTTGATGCCTGGCATTTCAACATTGCCACTCTTCCTGAAACATGACCCACACTTGCTATTGTATTTGAAGTTTCCAAAGGCTACTCATTATTTGACCCAAGTCCCTGTTTTCCAGGACAGCCATGCTTTCCTTTTCTTCCTCTAAAGAAAACAGCTGGTCTGAGTAGCCCTTCAAAAATTAACACCTTTTAAGAAAAGTTTTTTAGATTGGCACCCATGTTAGTTTCACACCATATATTCACCATTCTTCAAATGCACCCTCAGATCACAAGTAATAAGCATTTGCTTTCTTCCCAGCCTTGCATTTCTCTAATTCAATTACATAACCACACACATTTCTGCTTTGGCCCTTGCACAGGCTAGTTTTAAAGAAATGTTACACAGAAGTAATAGGAAGGTGAAGAAACAATCTTGAGGTCTCCAGGTCACATTGTCCAGCTGCTAGCTGAGATCAAGACACAGCACACGCCAAAACATCTGTCCTCAAACAAAAGAAAGCTGCAAACAGAACCTGGATCTTTCTCTGAATGGCATTTCTCAGACAGATGACAGAAGCGCTGATCTTCTGCACGCCCTGAATTAATGTAAAGGATGTTTATTTTCTCTACGCTGTGTTGGCAGCAATGCCTGTGTCCCTTTAAATTGTTTGTGGAATGGCAAAGATAAAAGCAGCATTTTACAGCTGCAGCAAACTGAAGGAGATAAAAAAAGTCTCTGTATGCACTTTTGTCATGCTCCCCTGCCTGTCTCAGGTGAGACTAAGAGTCTGCCTACACTTGGACGTGACTCCTGTCAGGCACCAGTCAATTAAGTACTTTTGGCTTTCTCAGCACTGAACTCTGGAAGCACAAAGGAGATAAAAACAAGCCATGGAGAGATCAAGAGAGTCTGTGTGGCTGAAGACCTGGTCTGGAATGAAGAAGCAGGACCATCAGGAGGGTCAGCAAGTGCTCTTCTAAAATTATTTTCATGGTCCATAAAAGACTAAGGCATAGGCATGGAAAAAGGCAGTGAGAGTTTTTTGCCTCTGCTGAATTCTTAGTTTATTTTAAAGAGGACAGGGACATAGTGTGGGGAGGTTATCAGAGCAAGGCAGCACCACGGGGAGCCAGATGTTCACTCCTTCACAAACCAGACCTCATTGCGGCGTCCGTAAGGCTTCATGGGGGGGTCATAACCATTGCACAGGTAGAAATCCTTGTGGTATGCAGCATCACTCCCCAGAGCAGCCTTCAGCTTGGCTGCATAGCTCACGTAATCTGCCTCTTTGGCATAGCCACCAAACTGCCTGCAAAGAAACCAGAGAGGTGTTGAGCAGTCCTGGAAAAGTACAGAAGGAGGAAAGAGAGAACAATAAATAGCCACAGTATATTTAGACATGCATTTTGATCCAGGCCCTGCCAGCATGCACTCATGTGTGCACTGCTCATTGTGAAGCAGCACACTTCATCTGGGACAGATGAAATCCCATGGGTGACACAGCCAAGGGTGACATGCAACCTGACAAGTGCATGAGATAAAATCTGCCTGGGCCCACCAAGCACAATAACAAAAGTCCCTGGGCAGTCATCCATTGGGAGGCCCCAAAGGGATCCCCCCAAACAGCCCCACATATGTCAGCCAGCAGAATGGCCCTGCCCTGTGAATCAGCTCCATATCAGAGAAGCAACTTTCTAAAATACAAGGTTATCTCCAAGTCAGCTCAGCCCACAGTCCCCACCAATGCTGTCAACAACCACGTTCACTGTGGTGTGAACAACCGTCTGCTGGAAAGATCATGAAGGAAAGCCAAACTCGAGCTAGCCCAAGAAAAAGGGGAGGTAGGAACACACAATTGGCAATTGCAGAACACAATGCCATTTAAAAGGCGTGGACTGAAATGGGTCTGGTTTATGCCGACCTCCCACCAACAGGAACTGTTTCCATGTCAGCCTGCACCTCACCACCCTCCTCAGGGCTGAAATTTGAGACAAAACAGGCTGATATTGCAGAAGTGGCCCACACCCAGAGCAAAGCCAAGCAGCAGTTGGAGGCAAGAAAGAAGTCAGTTAGAGTCAGCCAAAATAGTTCATGAAAGTAGGCAGAGGAACCTCCAAAGGGTAAAGACAAGGTGAAGAACTTATTGCTATTGTGATGCTAGTTTTGAGTCCAGGCTGTCAGTCAACACCCCAAGACATTCAAAAGTGACTTGAGGCAATGCAGTGGCTCCTTGTTTTCATGGTGGAGTCTGGTATAAGTCCATCTGAATGGGGCTTCAGTGGACAGTTTGTGAACTGCACCAAAGAACATTCTTAATGACCGTGAACAATATGGAACCCAGAAAGTGGGAAAAACCATAGATTCATACAACAGAAATGGCAGGGTATCTTTCAGGGCTAGCCTCCACACTTGTTTACCCAGTGGAAAAAAATCCATATTCTATATCAGTGCAGCATGACCAGGGGTAAAAAGTGACATAAAACACCTGTCTTCAGTCTAGACATACTCCTCCACCTGCTTCTGCCACATGGACCCCTTGTACAGCATGTCACCTGGTAAAACAAACACTGCTTATCAGAGCACCCTAAAGACCTCATCACTGGAGACTGGAGATCCCAGGACGCATTCCTTACGTGGAATAAATGGTCATCCCCTGTCTTTCTTCAATCTTAACGCTTTCATCAGTAGGACATGGAGGGTTGTCTTGAAACTGGCTTGGGATCCGCAGAGAGACTTTCACCTTCTGCTGAAAGGAGCCATCTTCAGCAGGAAAAGCAGTGATGGAGACAGGAGCAGTCATGCCCATTCCAACCCCTGAAACAGACAAACAGACATTACTAAAGAAGTCTAGGCTCTCAGGAACTCACAAAATTAACAGGGAATTCACAAAAGCTAATTTTAATTTTGGAAAACTCCTCATATGAACAAACTCCTTGTAAGGACTGGGCTCCTCTAGGGAAGCAGAACAGCCATCATCAGCCCTCTGCTTGGGCCAAGCTCTCTCTCCACACCAGCAGCCTGGGAAGGAAGTGTCCCAACTGACCTCTGGAATGCTTTTTATTAATGGTGCCACTTCTGTGGTTCTGTTAGACACTCTGTTCTTCTGACAAGTCAGCTGTAAGACAGCAGGGTCTGTAGCTCCAGGGCAGGCCAGTGGCATGTTTAAATCTACATCAGCATTTAAATTAACACTATCTGCACTTACTTGTGAGCCCACAGCCAACACTGACTGACAGAAGCTTTCTCTTAAAACCTCCCAAATGCTTCCAGACATCCTACAAGTTCCAGTGCCCCAAACCTCTGTGCTGTTATGGCTTTCAGCAGGACTGTCCATGCTTTCCACACTCCAGGAACAGCATGGCTTTTTCCTACTCATTAACACCAAGAAGTATCACATGGCACTGAAGACCAGTTTTCTTCACTTTTCTTGCAGCAGTAGGGAACCTCTAAACCTCATTCCCAGGCAGCCATGAAAACAGCTGAGATCAAGCCATCTTTCTCATTTATTTTCCTTTGATGTCATACCTGTGTTTGTGTCACATGTTATAGAAGGCACCCTTTCTACTACAGCAATAGCAATCATCACCTTTCCAAAAATGTTGCTGCAAATAGCATTTCCCACTGCATCCACCTCCTACTCCTATAGGGACTACACTAGTCCCTCTACTAGATGATGGAGAAAGGTGTTTAAGAACATGTATATGCCTCAGAGCTACTCTGTAGTCTTCACCTGCTATGAATGGTTAACATTCATTGGAGCACATTTTAGTAAGATGAAGCAATCACCTGGAAGCACTGCCATAAAACATTAAAATATACCATTAAAAAGGAAGCTCACTGTTCGTTACCCTTTCATGAATAAAAATAGCCAGATAAAATATCAAGGTCGTAACTGTAATTTCATTGCCCACAAGGGCACACCATAGAACTGAAGTGCCCCAGATAACCTGGATTTCATCAGCTACTGCTCACCCAGGGAGCTGTGATAGATCCATGTCTGCCTGTCCTCATGTTATCCCAGCTACAAGGTAACTCATTCCTGTTTAAACAAATAATTTTTGAGATTTCATCCTGAAACAGAGATGGGTTATAAGTGGACTCACAGAGATGGGTTATAAGTGGACTCATAGTGGACTCATGAGTTGGCTGGGCACGACTTAGCCTGTTGCAAATTTACTTTTACCAGCGAGGGGCCATCCCCATCCAAGAGCCAGTGCCAGGAGCCACAAGCCGGGGGGGCCTGCAGTGCCATTGCCTCCATCCATCCTGCTTTCACCAAGCCTCAAGCACAAACACCCGCCAAGCCCCGCGGGGCAGGCAGCATCTCTCACCCTTGTCGTTGCTTCCTCCGACATACTTGAGGAGCTTGACTGCCCCTTCCTTCGAGGCTTCGTCGAACGCCTTCCCCACCAGCTCCACCGCCGCGAACCTCCCGCCCTCGTACGTCCTCTCCTCGTAGCTGACCTGATCCTGGGGAAGGAGATGGGGGTGGAGGCGCTGCCCGGGGCCGATCCCCGCTTTCCCTCGCAGCGCCTTGGCGCAGGACGGCCCGGGAGCAGCGCCGCCCGCCCCGCACAGACCTTCTCGCCCTTGCTCAGCAGGCGGCAGGGCCATGCCTCCACCGTGCTCAGCAGCGAGTTCTTCACCATGCCCAGCATGACGCCGCGGCTCGGCTCGGCCCCGCTCGGCTCTGCCCGGCTGGGCTGGGCTCGGCCCCGCTCGGAGGCGGTGGGAGGGCCGGCGCCGCCCCGCCGGGGCCCGCGCCGTGCCAGGGCAGCGGCGGCGGAGCGGGGCCGGAGCGCGGAGTGTGCGGGGCGCCGAGAAGTGCGAGGAGGCATGAAGTGCGGGAACAGATGGTATTCATCTCTGGGAGACAGGAAATGTGAGAGGGGATATGAAAGAAGTGAAATACAGGAAAAGGGAAGTACTGGCAAAGTGTGTCATGCATAGCGTGGAAGGGCACCATGGTCCAGGAGTTGCAAAATCATAACCTCTTGGTCTTTTGTGTTTTGTGTTGTGTGTTGTTTTTTGGTTTTTTTAGGTTTTTTTTTTTTTTAATAAACATAAATAAGGGGAATGTAGTTGTTTTTTAAGGAAGTGGTCTGGTCACTGGATATTGTAAGCTCTAGGTGAAGGGTCGATTTTAGAAGTTCCTAATGATACTTGATCTCCTTCCACTGACCACTCACCTGGTTACCTCTGTTTGAAAGTTCCATCCAGATCCTTTCCCAGAAATGTGAATGAACACAGCAGAGAGCTTAGATGGCTTCTGTAGCTGGATACATTTATATGCATAGAAGACTTAGACACCTTGTGACGAGTGTTTTTTTTGTTGTATAAGCCACCTCTAAGGACAAGTGCCAGCTAGAGAAAGTGCCTTACCCAGGATCTTTTAAGAAGAGGTTAGCAGAAGCAGAAATCAAATACCAGTGCCTGGGAATCAGTCCCATGGGTCAGGCCAGCTTCCCCAGGCAGATGGGGTAGAGGCATCTCAAGTTGCTCAGCTGGACTGCTGCCTCCTCAAATTGAAGGTGAACAGTACAGAAGTAGGCTGGCGCATAACCTTCCTACACTCTTAAAGAGCAAAAAATAAAATTATAAGATAAATAGGACACTAAACTTCTCCATCTAGAGAGAGGGTCATTCAAAGAGGTTAAAGAAGCTGGCTGTTATCATCTGATTAAACAGACTGTGTCCAGGTCAGGGAGCTGGGCTGGAGCCTGGCATGGGCTTTCACAGTGAATGACAGGGCTGCTGTCACTGGTGACAAGGTCACAGACTAGTAACTTATTAACCATTTATATTACTTGGTTTATTCACCATTATGCAAAAAACTGGAGAATTGTAGCATACATTGCATGCTGCAGCTTATTTGTTCTCTTTTAAAGTAGATGGTGACTTTCTCCATTGTGCTGAGCAGGTTTTGCCAAGACTACAAACTTGCACATATCAAAGTAGGAATATGTGGACTGGGTTAGACTGGGGTTCCATCTTGCCCTGTCCTCTGTCAGAAGCTGGTGGTGGACATCTAAGAATAAAGTAAAAGTATACAATGATCTAGTCTGGCCTCCCACCAACAGCCATCTGTAACTTGAGGGACTTAGGGAAGTCTCATCTTTGTATTTCAAGTAGTCCTCAATTTATACAACTTCAGGTTGCCTGATAAAATGCTTGGTCTAAAATATGACCATGAAAGCTAACATTTCTGTTGTACTCTTCCTCCAGATAGGCAAAAATAACCAGCAGTCCCTACAGCCCCAAGCAAAGCATCCCTTGGAGGGATCAGCAGTCTGTGCAAGGATGCAGCTGTTGCTACAGCACAACCTAGAAACTCTGAATGCAGAATAACAAGAAGTTAGGGGCCTTTCTCTCCTGTTATTCCTTGTAATTTATGGAAATATATTCTGGGATCAAAATGCTCTACATTTCCTGAGAAATCATGATGACAACTTCAACAAAGGCACAACTGTATCTTTTTATCAGCCTTTCCACAGTCTTGATTTTCCCCTTCTCTAGCTAAGCAGCATTTCAAGTTCCCAAGCAAAAGCCAAGGAGAGTCAAGATCGAGTTTTGTTGTTTTCTGAAAACCTGAACTTACATCCAGGAATTATTTCCAGATTGTCTCATACCTCCCCCACTCAACTAACTCCCAGATTGAAGCTAAAATTTTTATTATGTTAATTCTTCTGGTCCATTCTTACTGTGTTAATTCTTCTAGTCCATTCTGAAAGATTTCATATGAAACTAGTTTTTACCCCTTTCCTTTTGGAGGTTATTGTACTGTCACTGAATTTCTTTCCATAAACTCAGGCTTTGGGAATCCTTAAATAGCTAGTCTGCATCCTCACTGTGACTGGAGAATGTTTTCAAAACAACTGACATGCCAGACACCCCCACAATCATTTAGACATAATCCATTCTTTATTTGTGTTCTCATAAATTGCTTCATCCAGACCTTAAAGACAACCTGTGTATTTTCCTCTCTGACTCTCTTTCTTATGTTTCAACACATTTCATATACACAGTTGACTACAGTGCTGAATGGAAATCTTTGTATTGGATTTATCTTTAGTGACATGAAGTGCAAGGCCACTCTCCTCCATTCAGTGCATCATTTGATTCATGCACTCTTTTTTTTATCACCAGCTTTATTGTCAGGAAGACACAGGCAAAGACAAGCTGAAGGCAGGGTATTCTGGGTAATCCCTGAGGGACCAAAGTCTTTGGAAAGTGTGGTTGTTAATTTTCTACAGATATTAATTGTGCTAAAGGATGTTGGGAAATGTCTGGAGGTCAGTGCTGGCATGTGGAGAAAATACTCTGTGAACTAGACACCAATTGAATCTGTGATTTTGGGGACTGAAGAGTCTCTTAAGCTATTTTGGAAAATCCTTCCAGACACCTGTCTTTGCCATTAGGTATCTAAATAATTTTGGAAAAAAAAATTAAAAATCCCATGGTTTCTATGAGTCTTGGCAAAATCAGTTCAGTATGTTTCAGAGTGCTGGAAATTATGAATATCACCATTCTGAGTGCACAGTTCCAGGTAGCTAGAAAAAGACTCTTTGCAGAAGGTGGATGTTCATATTTGGTCCCTAGCAATTGATATATCTTCAGTGTTGAAGCATGATGTACAGACCAAGGTTATCCAGCCCTGCTCACCCTCTGAACATATGAATATGGACAATAGGTTAAGGCAATATTTTGAAACATAACTTCCTCTCCCTCTCCCTGCCCAGCTGGAAGCGCCAAGCACTAATCCATCTTTCTGCATTCATCAGTTGTTCAGCACTTTTGAAGTTCAAGTTCCCCAGCTGTTTCAGATGGAGTGCTTTAAAAATAGGGCAGAGAAAGAAATTCACCTGATCTTCATAGAAAGACCTTCCTCTGGTAAGCAAAAAGAATGCCTGTATAGAATAAAGGTATTCATGCTCAACTAGACTGAGCTTGTCAACTTGTTTTTTCTTGGGACACAAAACAGCCATCAGTGAAGAACAAGGCCAGGTTTTGCCTACTGACCTAGGTTTGGAAGGCAGCAACAAAAGCAGAAGTTCTGGTCTCCTTAGCAAAGCTGACTTGTGTGTGTGCTTTACTTTTTTCCTCTCCAGCAATGTCCCATTGAGAAAGGCTTAAGCAGATGAAAAAAAAATAAAGATTTCCCTTTTTTCTGGTAGAGAATTAAGTGCTCTGAGGTCTCCTGCGAGCATATAACCTTCTCCTATGTGTCGGGAGTCTCCGGAGCTGAGTATTTCCACGCCTCTGGCTCTGCAGAGCATTCAGTCGAAGGGGAAGGACAGTTTTGCTGATGACATTGAGACGTTCGTTCAGTTCTTCCAGCCTTTTCCTTATCGACTGGACTTCCCTCACAAGGTTGTCCACAGCTGCAGAGACAGGGCGGAGACTACAAAGAGAGTAATACAGAAGAATAACTCGATTTAGGGAGTGTTTCTGAGCATGCAAAGTAATTTACCATGACCTTTGCTTCTTGCTGGGTAAGGACCCTTGAGATGAAAGAGTTGCAAGCAGCCATTAAAAGATGCTTCAAGGCTACCCTGCTCTTCAGTGATGGGAGTTCGTCTGAGGTGCCCCATCTGAACCCTGGAAAGTGCAAGCTTCAGGACCAGCATGAGCAATATGGTCTTTCCACCACCTTATTTTAATTTGTAATCATTAACTAGGAGTACACCTGGAGGTTATGCCAGTGGTTTCCATGGAGTGCTGTTAGTCCTCAACATTTCTAATGGACCAATCTTTGTCCTTGCCAGCAAACTCATAATTCAAAGCCCAGTACAGGATATATGGCTGCATACTCTCATCACATATTCCTGGACTAAAGTTAGAACTTTCCAAATACAAGACTTAATATTGTCCCTGATAATCGGAGGCATCAGTGAATTTCAGCACTGTCAGTGGGAAAGTTGTGATGAATTCTGTGCTAGTAATAGCCACCATGCAGCCAGGGAGAAATCCACTTGATGCCAAAGGCCAATGTATAATCTATGATGCATCCTCCTGAAACCATAGTTTGTACAGTTACCTGCCCAATGCCTTTTTTATTCTTTTAACCTTTCCTTTTCAACTGGTTCAATGTGTAATATTTGCAAACTTTTTTTTTCTTGTTGCTAAAGAGAACAATTAGTTATGGAAGACAGCCACTTTACTTGCTTTAGGAACAATTCTGATTTAAGTGAAATTAGGTTTCTAGCAATTCCCAGTATTCCTTTTCCCTCTCTTTCTCAGTCTTTCCTACTCTCTTTCTGGAAATATGAGATTGGAGTAAATTTTGTGAGTTTGTTCAACAATTAATATCATCAGCAATGCAAAGAGGGACTATGATGACATGAACTAGTTCTCAGATCTAGGTGTTAGAGACTGAAATAAAAAAAACATCAGAGACCAAATCAGCTTCTTTTCCCTGATCTGTGGCCAAGCCCATGTGTAGATTTGTAGAACAATTGATTTTTTCCAGCCTGTTCTCACAAGTGTGAGAAATGCCAAGGACATTTTCTTTAGGAAGATTATTGTAATACAATGATGGCAGTTGAGAGTGTTTCACAATAAATAGTTAGCAGAGTATTCAGTTTACTAATCAGAGCTGGTAGCAAAACAGGTACTGAGATAGCGTGTTTCATTTCCTCCCAACTGAAAAATATGAAAATTCATCTTTAAGAAGATGAATCCTGCTCAGGGAAGGACACCCAGGAGAGGACTGAATCCCACCTCCAGATGAGAGGAATTACCTGGAGAACTCTG